CGCCGGGGCCCGACTGATGGCATGATGCAGCACCAGACTGCCCGGGAGTGAGGTAACTGCAGCGGGGACAGCATCCCCTCCTGGCTTACTTATAAAGGTCTGAACAGGATCGGTGGAAGAAAAATGAAGGGAGAATAGGAAGTCTCGGAAGTTATTCTGTCATAGTCGTCTGATATCGCCACCCGGGAGGCAAGGGCGTCAGACAGTCAGACGACGACAACATAAAATAAAATATAGTCACTAAGAGAGGTCAACGGAAATTGGTTGGCTGCCTCCTCTTCAGCTAACGTGTTTCGTGTCGGCTTTACTTGAAAACATTTAAACGTTCTATTTAATGTTTTTGAACACAGATTACCTAGTACTGGTGTATAGCCAGTGACCGCTGTAATAACATCTTAGGGCATGCAAGAAAGATGGCTGAGACGCCTTAGTCATGTGTTTTGGCATCCGTTCCATGAGCCCAGTATTGTTTTTTTAAATTCGAAAGTTAAGCCTAATTGGAGAGCGACGAAGACGTCATGAAAAAACTTGGCTCGAAGTTGTCTGTCAATACAATAGAGTACTCCTTCGGTCTACGGTAGACAGCTACAGAGGATATAACACTTCAGAACCACAGACCAACATCCCAACGGGAACAAGTGAGCAACCCGAAAGCGGGAATTAAAAACGCTCCCTAAATATGGAAATCACAGGTCATACCGTCAAGAGATCGTCCGTAGGTATGAGGAGCAAAGGTCGGAATGCACGCAGCCGGGCGTAGGCCTCGGGAGCAAGGTCAAACAGCCGGCAGCCCGGAATTCTACCGTTGGAAGTCACTTGTTCCTCTAGCGTCAGCTCGAATTCGACACAATCGGCAGCGAGGCGGTGACGCGTGCGTTCCCTTCTCAACTCCGCCGCCTGATCCGTCGGCACCGAGGTTGTGTGTCCGGTATCTAGACGCAGGAGGCTGGCATGCAGTAGGAAGGTATCGATGCAGGATGACAAATGCTCACGCAGACTGTCCAGGAGAGCTATTACGCCGAATGCGTAAAATTGTTGACTACCAGGGGAGTGTTTGGGTCGAGGGCATAGATCAGACATGACCGTTGGAGTTGACAGACGGGAGAAGAGGTCAGTCCG